CCCTCAGATGCCTTGAAATTCTCAATTCCAAGCTCAGTTGCAAAGAACTTAGCTTTTGTCCAGCCCAGAAAGTGATGGATTCATACGCTGCTGCCGAGATTTCCGCAACTTCTTCCTGCTACCGCCCTTCATCTCCGCTTCAAGCCACTTTTTTCTGTTCTTCCATATCGGAGCCACAGTTAACTGAGATAGCCCCGACATCCAATTGCTTGAGCTATCGATAACTTTTCCTGCACCGAGAGCACTTTAGGCTTTTTCGAAAACATATTGACTGACTAAGACATGACTCGCAAAAGTAAACAACCGCTGGACAATGACCTTGACACTCGTGACTGATGTAGTCTGAACTTTAAATAAAATAACACATTTGTCATCGACTATTGAACGCTGAAAATCATCGCTATAAAGAGAGAACGATATCGGTATAGAGGAAGAATTAATACATTGTTCTTATGACGGACCAAACAACGTTTACTATTTTCATCGTTATAGAGGAATTATCGTTATATAGAGAATCGTTATAAAGAGAGACTACTGTATTATTAATAATATAAGTAAGTATAGCTGCGGTTGTTTAGCGGGCTAGCACATTCACTTTGATATAAGTAATTGAGTGGGTTCATGGTTCAAAACATGCACCAGCCAAGATAATAAAAATTATAAACCTCTCAGTACAAAATTCAATATGGATATGACGGTCAATTGTAGAATTACGCTAAGAGATGAAGAGTTACGGCTTAGTGACTCTAATTCATTTATCTAATCTGAAAGGTGATAAAACGCCAGAAATCCGAAATATACATATGCGTAAATTTGATTTTAGTTATAAATTTCTTTTTCAATTTAACTGTTGTTGTATTACTGGCTAGCTCCGTATTTAAAACTGGAGCAGTATTGTAACTCATTAGTATTCAATATCACGTTTCTGTATGACTTTGGTACTGTTTTCTATTGTGACAGTTTTCAATGTATTTGGATTTTGTTAACGTCTGTGTTTAACCTTTCTACAGCAGCTATGTCATCAGCCTAATAAGGTAGTATACTGGTCCAATAAAAAACATACCAGCTGGATTATCTAGTACTTGTATCACCACTTTTTGAGTGCAATTTGAATGTTGCAGGAAGTATTCTTCCCTGTCTCATTCCAATCCTAATTCAAAATGGTTTGGACATTATTTCATCTACTACCACAATACTTTTGATATCTACTATATCTGCTAGTGTCATTCTAAACAAACCCATTAGTTTATTTATAACACCGAGTTCCGTCAATGCCTTCACAAATATTTGTCTCTTAAATATGTAATGTACCATTCTGAAGTATATGCAATTAGTTTAGGTGAAAATTTGTGTATATAGAAAATCTCGATGATTGCAGGTATACTACAGCTAAAACCATATCACCCCCAACATAACTAGTCATATGGTGCCCTATCCAATTAGTGGATGTTGGCGACAATTCTGGCATACTCCTTTCGATCTTGTGTGGCTCTAACGAGTCCATGGGCATCGAGGTTTTTCCAATCCCTTATGTGTTTAAGCCATGAGTATTTCTTTCTTCCAATGCCCCGTTTTTCTTCTATCTTCCCTTTCATAATAAGCTTTAAAAACTGGTACTTGGAATTTCGAAATATATGACCCAGATAAGCGTTCTCTGCCCATTCGATTTAATACTTCGACATTTGTTGTGTAATCTGTCCAGTGAATAATAAGTAATCTTCTAAATACCCACATTTCAAAGGCCTCTAATCGGTTCATCACATTGGCCTTTATGGTCCAGGTTTCTATACCATATAACAGTATGGAGTAAATGTAACATTTTACAAAGCGATATCGAAACGTTAAGTTAAGGCTGCTGTTGCTTAGCAAGGTTTTCATATTAGTAAATGCTGTTCTGGCTTGCTCAATCCTGCTACGTATCTCTATGTCTGGATCTAGATCTTCAGTTATCCAACTATCGAGATATCTGAACTTGGGAACCTTTTAGATGTTCTTATTGTTTACTCTCATATTTAATTGCATATTTCGTGTTCTACTAACCACCATTACCTTCGTCTTGTCTATATAATTTGTTAAGCCCAGTCTTTCTCCTTCAGTGTTTATTCTATATATTAGACGTTGTAGCACTTCTTGGCTATCAGCTATTATGACTGTATCATCAGCATAGCGAAGATTACTAATAGTCTGTCCGTTGACTTTAATTCCATCTTCAGTGTCACTTAAGGCTGTATCGAAAATCGTTTCAGAGTAAAGATTAAAAAGGAGGGGTGACAGAACACAACCCTGTCGTACACCTTTTTCGATTAAGAAATATGATGTAGATTCCAGTCCTACTCTCAAAAATGCCACTTTATTCATATAAAGGTTTTTAATGATTTTAAGGTCATTCTCATCCATCGAACGTTTGTGAAGCAATCTTACTAATTCTGAATAATTAACACAATCGAACGCTTTCTGGTAATCTATAAAGCATAGGAAGACATCTTTTTGCTGATCCCTGCATTTTTGAAGTAGGAAAGTGTTTTTCCTGTGCCAAATCCTTGTCTAAAACCGAACTGTGTGGGGCTAATGTCTCTTTCACATCTGTTGTATGCTGTAAGCTGATCATTCGGAATTGGTCGCAACTATTAGCGTTTGGCTTTTTTGGGATTGGTAGCGTCTATATCAAGGCGTCTATATTGTCTTTACTCAACATTGTTAAAACCTCTATGTATATTTCGTCTCTCTGTTTGATTGCTCTTACAACTTCTGACTTCAATATTTTGGGGGAGGGTTGACTTTTATATTTACTTTCAGAGTTTCTTTTAGTGTTGTCTGAGTATAGTTGCTGTTTGTAGTTTCTCCAATGTTGAAGTAGATCCTTGGGATCAGTAATTAATTTATTGTCCTTTACAATACTGCTAAAACTGCAAGGTTTTGTAGGACCTGTCACTTATTTAACGAGTTTATGTATGTTAAAGGTCGATTCAGACACATCAGTTCCGTCACAGTCTCGGCGCCGAACCGGTCCTGTTTGGTCACAGAACTATTAATTATCTGACAGCTGAGAAACTGTTCGTCGCCTGAATGAGTGTGGATGCCGCCGCCATATTTCTATTAAAGAATATTTTGTATGACGGATTGTTCGGTTCGGCGCCAGGACTGTGACGAGACTTGACTGATGTGTCTGAATCGACCTTTAATTGGTCATATTTTTCTTCCAATTCCTCCATTTCTGCACACCTGTCTAGCAGCCACTGTTCTTTAGCTTTGCGACACTCTTTTCGTATTTGTCGGTTAATCTGCTGATGTTTGGTTTGGTCTTTGTTTTAAAATGATCTGCGGTCGTCCATCATTGACAATATTTCGTCAGTCATCCAATTCTTCTTTTTGTACTTTTGGGAAGCGATCAGAGACTTGGTGGTGGTTACAATAACTTTTTTAATACGATTCCATTTGTCTTCTATAATGGCCGGTTGTTTAGATCTTGCCGTGATATGCGCTATTGCCTCATTTAATTTTTCTGTGACTTTTAGTTTAACATTAGGTTGTTTTAAGCTGTTTATATCAATTTTTTTATGGATTTTCTTTTAATTTTCTTAAGCTTAATTTTAATTTTTTCTACTACGGGATTGTGATCAGATCCGATATATGTTCCAGGGTACGTTTTTACTCCTTGTAAACATAACTATTAGGAATTCATTATTATTTAAGATATTGCCATGTCCTTCTACTTGAACTTCACAAAGAAATTTGAATGTTAATTAAAAAAATATATTTTAATTTGTATATGTGAATGATATCTGTGGCTTTAATTCTATTTCTTGGTGACTATTTATGATTATTACATATTTGCATTTTTTGAATCCTGCTGATATACTTTTTCTATTTATTAAAATTTTAACTGTTGTCGTATTCTTGCATAAACTTTAGCAAATATTGTTAGATAAAGTAAGGCTCACAGATATCTAACATATCCCAAACCATCAGGATCTGAAGAAATCTGTAGATAATACATAAATATATATAATTATTGTTCCTCTTATGCCGTTAGGTATTAAGATGTTAATGAATCTAACTTTTGATAAATGTTCTCCATTATTTTTTGTTCCCTGCTATTTGTTTTTTTTCCTGTCATTTGCATCTACTTCTGAGGATTTCCTCCCTTATTACTGTTGTTTGTTCACATTTGTTGTGTGTTCAAGTTTCTATTTTTACACTTGATTTTATTACATTGTATAGATTTGGTAGAGGTTTAATAAGAGCATGAGATTTGTTTCTTTTAGGACTATCCAGAGTTTTATTATTGGTATTGTGTCGTATGCTTTGTGTAAATTGATAAATATTACATGTATTTCTCTACAATTTGACATATTTTTCTTTTAATTTGTTTTAAACAGAATATATTATCGTTATATAATCTTCCAGCATGAAATCCGCTTTAGTTCATTCTCTTATTGGCTTTAATTATCTCTTCTAAACAGATATCTTAGTACACGCCCAAACAATCTTCTTAATGTATAGTTACGGATTATCATCATTAGTTCATTTTAAGTTCACTGCAGAACATAGGCTTCCCTTGTTTGTACCAGAATAGTGTCTTCTTCTTCTTCTTGTTTTTTATGAAGACCTGAATATCTCTTTTTTGTTCATTGGAAGACCTGAAAACCGCTGAAACGTCACTATTATTTCTAAGAATTTACTGCCTACAATTTTGATTCTTGATTGTATATACCGATTTGCTGTGAATAAACGTGTATCAATTCTCTATTGTAATGTTTAAATAATTACTTTTATATGTGATTAAATAGAGACAGTCCAAACCTCTAGGGTAATTCATTATATCTTGGTAATTATTTTTTAAAACTACACAGTAGAAATTATTTAATTACAACATTTAAATAATATAATTATATAATTAATATCAAAAATTAATTAATACATTAATAAAAGTGAAACATAATGAAATATAAATTAATTTTAAAATTATTCTTTACTTATAAATATCTTTTGTATTTTAGCAACTTAAAGCTCACATTTTGGTCCAAATGAGGTATAAGGATATCAGATTAAGTTATTCTGCTTTGAGTCCAAACAAACGATTTATTAGAGGAGGAGAAGATTTAAAAGACAGAATCTGGGCACCGCATTTGATTCTATCTAATGAAAAGGAATCAAGTCTTATGGGTTTAAGTGATAAAGATATATTTATACAAATAAACCCAGATGGAGAAGTTGTATACGGATATAGACTAAGTACCTCATTCTATTGCTGGATGGACTTAAAAAAGTTTCCGTTTGATCGACAGACATGCGATCTTACATGGGTTAGTTGTGAGTAACATAGGTTTTATAAATTAATTTTGTTAAAATTATTATAAAATAATAATTGTAACTTTAGGTTAGTGTTGCATAACGAAGTTTATATAAATTAAATATTTCTGTAGTCCTAAGTAGTGTTTGACAATAGAAAATGTGCTATTTGTATCAGTACTTTTGATTGAGTGACAACGCGCACATTATTCTTGGTGTTGTGTGTGTGTGTGTGTGTGTGTGTGTGTGTGTGTGTGGTGTTGTGTGTGTGTGTGTGTGTGTGTGTGTGTGTGTGTCTGTATGTGTGTGTATGTCCGGACTGACTGGCCGTTGTTAGCATTTATCCATAAAAAGACTATAGAAGCTTTACCCAAAGATGACGCAGCTACCGTTCACCAAAAATTTTTTAACTTACTAGCGATTTTGCCGTTTGATTGATTCATTTGTACAAAGATCAATTGAGTATGGAGTTTTCGTAAACTACAACTCCAGCGCAAAAGTTCGAGAATAACTTCCAAGGTTTTGTATTAATAGCTTAGATGCGACATGCGGCGTCAACGGAAGTTTAATTAACAACATTAGGTATGCCGACGATACAGTCATAAGACAATTTGGAAGACTTAGAAAGAATAATGAACAAAATATTAAGATATAGTGGAGAATAAGGACTCTCTCTTAACATCAAAAAAACCAAATTCATGAAAATTAGCAAGAACGGTACAAATAAAATATTAACGGTATTAACGGCGAGCAGATTGAGAGAGTAAAAAGATATACTTACTTGGGAACGATAATCACAGAAAATAATGATTATACTGAAGAGATAAGAGTCAGAATTGAAAAAGCACGTTCCAACTTCGTGAAAATGAAAAAGATTTTATGCAGCAAAGATCTGACATTGGCCCTCAGAATAAGGCTAATTAAGTGCTATGTGCACAGTGTACTCTACTATGGAGCTGAATCATGGACATTAAACCGGAATACAATAAATCGACTTAACGCGTTTAAAATATGTACATTTAGAAGATTGTTAAGAATTCCATGGGTAGATAGAGTCACGAATGCAGAAGTGTTAAGGAGAATAGGCAGAGAGAGGGAATAAAAAATACAATAAAAGAAAGGAAATCGCAATATCTCAGACATGTAATCAGAGGCGAAAGATTCAACATCTTGAGACTCATAATTTAAGGAAAAATAGAGGGTAGGAGAAGCGTAGAAAAAAGACACGTTTTCTGGTTGAAGAACCTGAGAGAGTGGTTTCACTGCAGCGCATGACAATTGTTTAGAGCAGCTGCCTCGAAGGTCAGAATAGCCATGATGATTGTCAAACTTCGTCGCGGAGATGGCACTTAAAGAAGAAGAACAAAAGATGTCTAAGCCAGTTTCATTCTTTTGCTGATTTATATGAGTAAGGAGCCAGATTTATGTATTTATTGTGTCATGTATACATACTTGTCTACTGTATCAAGTGCAGTGTTATTTATTTGTTTATTATTACATCTTGGACATCCGCTAGGCTAGCTCATTGTACATAGTTTTTGTTATTGTCAAGTTCATTTTTAGGCCCACTTCATTGCTAGCTCAATGAATAACCTTTTTGTCTGTTAGTTTATTTTGCTGAATATATTTTCTAGAATTACAGTGAAGAGTTCAGTGATATTGTCGGACACATATGGTATTGGGAAATTCTGGAGTGTTTCCATAAATTTTTACTTAGGCTTTTGATTGTCTGTTTATACTTGATAAAGTCTCTATGTACGGTTTGAGAATACCTTGATTGGTCAAAGTTTCTATTACTACCTTGGGATATATAGAATCCAAAGTCTTCTCTAAATCTGCTAGCGGTATTTCATATTCTTTAGCTCTACTCATTAGTTCTCGAAGCGTGTGGATATGTTTCAGAGTATTGAATTCACTTCTGAAGCCAACTTCTATTGGCTGTGCAGCATCTAATGCATTTTTTAATCTGTTGTTGGAGATCTTTGTGAATATCTTGTATATAATTGGTAGTAGACTTAAAGTTAGTAGTTTTTGATATCCTCTTTGCTACCTTCCTTATGAATCAGAGTTATGATTGCGTATGATTGTCTAGTGCTGTGGTACGCATCTTAATCTTAGTCAGTTCGTAAATATGCCTGCTTTTCTAGAGAATTTAATGCTAAAGATTTTCCACATTTTTTTGCCAGCGTATTTAAGCAGTTTCACTGGTATGACATCTATTCCAGCTGCTTTACTGCTTTTAATTTTTGTAATTGTCGATTCTACTTCTTCCGGAAGGACTTCTGGTACATCTTCTTGGCTACTTTTTGCTTCTTCAAGTGTTTGAGGGGTTTCGTATAGTTCGCTGTAGAATTTAATCACCAGTTGTATTAATAAATTTCGGTCTGTAATTCTGATGTTTTTGTCTGTTAGAGTAACGATTCGCTTCTTCTAAATGATTAATGATTTTCTTGTTTTCCTATAGTTTTTTTTCTTTTCGATTGTATTTTCTACCAGTTTTTCATCGTATTTTCTTATGTATTCCTTAATACTTTTCCTTATTGTCTTACAAAGTTTTGTGTATTGTATTCCTTAAATGTTGCTACTTACTTTAATGTCCCTACTTTGTCTTAGCAGTATTTTGATTTTATTAGACAGTTTATATTTATTTTGTTGTTACGGACCTTTGATTTCTTTGGCACTATCAAAGATGATTTCCATTAATTGAAAGCTGTCGATTTGGTCATGTAATCTTTCATCAATTTTCCTTCAGTAGCGATCTAAGTTTTATTTTAGACTGTGAATATTTATACGGATTACTGTTGGTCTTGTGATTTTATTCTTGCTAGTTTCAAATCTAGAACAACTATAAGGCATTGTTGTTTTTTTTTTGGGTAGCGGTATAGATTCTTAACATCCTCCTGGTTTGATCCCGAAATCTAACCAGTTCAGAGCCATTTGGACCTAAGGAGAATGGGGGCCATGATTTGCATAATGTGTCTTTCATATTAGGAATTGTGAATGTTACCGCTGTTTCAGTGTGGGTTTGTAATAATTCGCTGGTGTATTTCAATTATACGGCACAGAAACCTGCCTTTCTCCCTCTTCATTCTGCCATATAACGTACTTCCATAATACGCCGAAATTGCACGACTTATGTCTGCGTGAACGTTAGAGGTAGGATTCATTGCCAGAGCTGGCTAACTTTTTAGATTATCTGTGACCTATTCATCACTATCAGTAAGGTATTTACCACTGAACCGATTCCAATGAACTATTGTGAAAGTGTATTGTTTCACCAACTTAAAATATTTTTCATCACTTCATCTTGATGAACTTCAAAAGTTCATCAAGATTTTTTGAGACTTCACTTTAACAGTTGTAGATTAAATAATCTCAATATAAATTAATATATTTTCTTAAGTTAGTCCGTTAAAGACATGATGTGCAATATTATTTGGAAAATTATTAATAAATCAGTATATTTGTAACTTAATGCATGTTCGTATCTTATCTACTTTCATAAAATCAACATAAAATTGTTTTTTTTATAAATGTGTTTTTACAATTAAAACCTACATAAATATTTTTCTGCATAGTTAATTAAATTAAAAAGTTATTATCTAGTGAAAATCGAATATGCAGCCATATGTTGCGTTACAATCCTATTTTATACTATACCCGGAATTGGCAAGTTGTAATATATGAAAATATGCTACAATTAATTAATGAGTATAATCAAAACAGTGATAGATCTAACAAAGTTTTTACTTTTGTTATAAAATTCGTTTTAATAATATAATCTTTTCATGTAATGAAAAAAAAAATAACATAATCGAAACATATGCGTTGACTTAATTTTCAAAGAGGTATATAACTTTTACTACATTATTTTTTATACCATAGAGTTAATATTTTAACATAGAGATATAAAATATTTTATTGAAATAAGCAGGAGCACTAAAAAATAAAAATTCTACCAAAAAGACTACATCGCATAGAACATATTTACAACATTTATTATATTGACTATTGACTCAGGAGTCGCCGTTATGAAGACCTCTGACCTGCCATCATGTAATCTTATGTCTGATGTCTGATGGTAGTTGTCCGCAGTCATAATTCTAAATGATGTTATTTGTTACAATTGTGAATAATGTTGTTTCTAGATTTCAGTTTTTCCGCTGTTTTTGTCTGGTGCTTTTGAAGGATAAGGTTCCATGGACGTTCACCTCTAGGTGCTTTGGTGTTATATTGTAAAGGAGTGTGGTGTTTGTGAATTGTGGGTTGATTATTCCTTCTGCAAATTTATAATCTAGGAAAAAAGTACTTTTCCACTGTGTCTAAATCCATCTTAAGAGTTTCCTTAATTTCTTTAAATAATTTTTTCCTTAACGTAGGGTCAGTTCCTGGGAGGAACGGACAGCAATAGTGATTCTTTTCTGGTAAAATCTAAGTTGAGAACACAAATATTGTACGGAACCTGGAGCAACAAAATCAAAGAAAAAAGATGGGTTATAGAAGCTCTTCAAATATCAAATAAATAACTAGAGTGTCAAGTATTCATAAGCAACCTATACCAATTGCGGGGAGAGGAAAAGCATAATATAGACTTAGGACAAGCACGGAAAAATATGACATCAGTTATAGAACAAACAGGGAAAGAAGCGATTGGAAAACAGAGGACGTGCTCAAAATGGAAATTTTTTGACAAGCATGGTTTTCCAGTGAGGAAATGCTGGAAGCAAAAACTCACAAAAGATTTAAAATGCTACAATATCCTACAGCTAAGAACAAAGCAGATTTTCACAGAATAAAATAGAGCATTATACTCCCTATCATCAATATTAAGATCTAAGCTGCTAAAAAGACAGTCTAAATTAGGACTACATGTCAATTATTCACCAAATTGATACATATAGATGTAAAACATGGGTCTACATCAGCGGAAAGAAAGGTTCTTAGAATGGATACATGGTCCTTAAAGAAATTAATTGACAGGAGAGTGGAGAAGGCGCCGCAATACTAAATTGGTGACTCTGTATGATACTAAAAAAATCATCAAACATAAAAGCTAACCGGATACGATGGGTAGGTCATGTGGTAAGAGGAAGAACGAGTGCAAAAGACAATGTTTTTTGAGAGACCAGACAGTAGTAGATCAGTAGACCGTCCCAGAAAAATATTAAAGGATGATGTTAAAGCCGATTTATGTGGAATGGTGTACAACATGGTAAATGAAAGCTCAAAATTGTATAAGATGGAGGGCTATAGTAAATACAGCGAAGACTCACCCCAAGTTGTAAAGTCAGTAAGAAGAAGATTTACTCCTTATTACAGGATCGTCGGCGTAAACAAACTTTGTTAATATGATTCTGCTTCTGTCCGCGATATACAGAATAACGATCAGATGAGCTAGTACCGATTCCTGAGGAAGCCCATTCTTTAGTTTCCTAGATGTGCTAATGTCGGTTTGAATTACCACTTTATTATTTGGTCGCTCTGCATATCATCAATTATTTCAGCGATAAATTTACAAGGAATTATTTGGAGAAACTTGCAAACCATTCCCTCTCTCTAAACTCTATCCTAGACCGCTACTAGCTCTATAAACGCGGCAGTAGTTTTAAGTTTTCTCTAAAACCCTACCTTAGTAAAAGGGATAAGTAAAAGAATTTGATCTATGTAAGTTCTCCTTCGTCAGAAGCCTGTCTGTTTGATTGTTTTTGCTTAAAACATTTTTGTGGCGATTCTATTGAAGATAAGTTGCCCTAGCAACTTAGGCGTTGCTGATAATAGGCTGTTGACCTGTATTTTTTGGGATTATCATCATTTGGCTTATCAGGTTTTAATATGGCAATGACCCATAAGCGTCTACGTTCTTGAGATATGTTACATTCTTCATAATATGTGAAGAGTCATCCATTATCTGGCATATTTCCCGCTGTTTATTAAAAATGCGGGGAGGACATTATTTATACCTGAGGCCATACCTAGTTTTACATCTTGTGAAATAAAACTATTGTAATTTCATCACAATATCTTCTTGCAATTGATATGAATTTGACATTAATTATTCTTGTGTGTCTTGTTATAATAATCCCACTTTCTAGTGGTCCTAGTAGTTCCCATGCTTGTATTTTTGATGTTTACAAGTTCAGACTTTAGATAGACTTTAAGGCGTATGTCTCGCTGCATCCAAGCATTGAAGTAGTTCGTTAGCTATTTCTTGATCACCACTTCTAAGGAAGATTTCGTATAGTTCTTTCCTGTTCTTGACCAACCAGAGATGTCTTACTTACGATAGCCTCTTGGTATGTACTTTTAATCACGCTTATCATGGTATCGAAAATTTTTTTGCAGTTTTTACTAGTAGGGGTATCCAGCCAAGAATCTTATCCAATTCCGCAAAAAACCAACTCCACATAGCCTTATTTAGGTTACACCATGGGTTTCCACCTTCTCTTTGAGAAATAATTACGAATATACAATTTTTCTGTCGCTATCTATTACACGTAATCTAAAAAAGACAAAACACTGAAAAATGCCATGAGAAGAACTATATTTGTGCTAAATCCAGCTGCCGTGTACTTCCTCTGATTCTGGCTGGGCAAAAATTCCGTCTTTAATAAAATCTACTGCAGTTGCAGACGATACGTCAGGAAAAACAATTAAAATTCTGCAACAAGACATATAAACGCCGATAGCAGTGTATGTTTACAAAAAACTGATAATACTTCTCCTTTCTGTATAAGTAACTGTTACTACTAGTACTAGTTTCACTACTACTAGTTTTATATCTTATAATCATTGTAAAAATGAAAAAATATAGTTATTATGTCATCTTTAAAATAGTTAGTAAAACTTCTTACCGCTAAAAAAAGTTCTAACACTTTGTAGTACTCTATAAAGTATTCTATAGAGTGTATGTTTTTCTTAGGAAAAGGATCTACATAAATATAATTTAATTTTTTAGGGGCATATAATGCTACCGATCTAGCTATAGAATGGGAAACAGTTTCTCCATTTACGATAGGAAAAAATCTTCATTTGACTGAATTTATTATAGAGGAAAGTTGGACAGAATCGCATATTTTGCCAAATCAATTTTATCAAGGTGGACAAGGTAAGTTCAAAACATATTATCAATTCTTAATATTCTTATATTAAATTTGTTTGCTGTGATATTGAAGTTTTGGAGCTACCTTTGTAGGTCATCTTCGTTATCAGCAATTAGTACTGCATCATCGCCATAGCATAGTATCGTGATTTTATGCGCTCCCATGTAGTATCCGTGTCGTTTTCTTACTTCGTGAATTATTTGATTTATCACCATATTGAATTACAATGGGCTGAGCGAGTCTCCGTGGCGGATTCCTCCTTTTAGTTCTATGCATTCTGTTTCTCCTGTTGGCGTTATAACTCTGGTTTTCTTGTTAATTTCATTAATTGTCCTTATTATCTGATGGTCTATTTGTTTAGATTGTAATAAATTTAAGATGTCATTTTCTTCACCCTGTCAAAAGCACTTTTTAAATCTACAAAGCAGATGTATGCTGGTTTTCCATATTCAACAGACTTCTCTATTATTTATCTGATACTAAAAATTGCGTCTATTGTGCTGCGGTTCTTCCGGAAGCCTTGCTCATCTGCCATGTTCGCTTTTTCCTCGATTTTATCTTTTATGACTGCCGTTAACAATTTTAATGTACTATTCATCAGACTAATGTCTCTATAATTTTCAGTGTAACTATTGTTAGTAAACAAATTGAAGCCGACTTTTGCTAGTAACAAGGCATTTACTCACTGTATAAAAAATGAAAATCATGCTAATAACCGTATTAGATCCTTAGTAGCCTTAAGTTTAATACAAAAAATTGTTAATAATTTTCATTAAGTGTATGGAAATTATTTAAATTCGAACCCAGCGAGTAATATATTATAATAATTATAATAAATAAATATATATATATATATTAATATATATTATATATATATATATATAATATATATATATATATATATTATATATAATATATATATATATATATATATATATATATTATATATTAATATATATATAATATATATATACAAGGTGGTCCAGAATTATGTACATTAATTTCTAGAGCTTATAGTACGTCTAAAAATAAGGGTACTTCTTTATGTACACTTTTTTATAAAAGTGAATAATAAGGGAGATACAACCCTTTAAAGGGGTGAATTGAAATTCTTATTTTTTCAAATATCTTCCAAACGGTTTTGAATACGAAGTTCATATTTTGGGAGTGATTATAAGACATTAGGATAATTAATTTCATGTCACCACCTACCACATCCTATATTAATACAGGGTAGTTTTGGAGGGTAAGTGGGGGTTATTTCGTCACATGTTTTTTAATTTTTACATATTTTAAAAAAATATTTTAAAAATTGTTTCCTTAGACATTTCTACGCAAAAAAGGTGCTCTTGTAATATTTCGATTGATATCACCGTTTTCGATTTATTTAAACTCGAAGGTATACATGTATTTTATTGTAATCGTTATATTTCTTAATATTCATCAAGTATGCTTTGGAATTGACACTTGTGTTAGCAATAATATTACAAATTAATGAAAAACTTAATAAATACTTAACATTTAATTAATGGCGAAAATAATATTTCACAACAACTGTTTAAAATGTCCTCCATTTTGTTGAATACATAATCTAATTCTTTTATTTAGCGAACGCATTAATCCATTTAATGTTACTGGATCGTTTTGTAAATTGGTAAATACTTGTTCAATTTTGTCTCTTAACTCATTTACTGTATTAATTGGAGTGTTATACACTTTTGATTTTAAATAACTCCATACTGTAAAGTCCATTGGATTAACATCACAACTACGAGCAGGCCAATGAATCGGTGCATCCGCACCCAGGCCTATCCATCTATCAGGGAAATGTTCATGTAACCACCTTCTACAAATTCTTGTGTAATGTGGCGTTGCACCATCATGCATGAAAAACATGTTTCTTCGTATTTGTAATGGAATATCTTCCAAAATATGTAAAATATTGTCTAGAAAATTGTAATACATGTTGCCATTTAAATTTCCTGGAAAGATGTGGTATCCTATGAAACTATTTCCTAAAGTAGCTGCCCAAACGTTTATCTTGAACGTGTGTTGGAAGTGAGTTTCCATTGTAGCCCTCGGATTTTCTTTAGCCCAGAAGTGCATATTTCTAGAATTGAACATACCTTGTCTTGTAAATGTGGCCTCGTCTATAAACAGAATGTTGCTTAAAAAATTTGGTGCAGTTTGAACTTTATTTTGCAATACTTCACAATAATCAACTCTAAGTGGCATATCGTCAGGTAACAATTCCTGCACCTGTCGATAGTGGTAAGGATGTAATTGCTCTTCATGCAGAGCTCTTAAAACACTTTGATGAGAAATATTCGTTCTTAATCCTAACCTGCGTGTACTTATTGTGGGATTATTTATTACACTCAGTCATCGTTCAGTACTTTACAAAAGTCCTGGCATTGAGAATATTTCTGTTCGGATACTTTTCTCTGTAGCGTTTTACAGCGGCAGCAGCATTTCCCGAACATTCCCCTAATACTAAAAGTATGTATGTCATCTCAAAATTTGAATAGTGTGCTATATTGCGGGCAAACAAATTTAAAAAAATATAGCAAAAGAGACGTGTTAAACAAATTTCACTGTCGACTACAATAAAAGTGTAGATAAAATAATTTAATTGTTATTAAACGTCACTGACAATTCATAGACTACTTGAGATTAAAGTGTTGTTACTAACACAAGTGTCAATTCCAAAGCATACTTGATGAATATTAAGAAATGTAACGATTACAATAAAATACATGTATACCTTCGAGTTTAAATAAATCGAAAACGGTGATAACTATCGAAATATTACAAGAGCACCTTTTTTGCGTAGAAAAGTCTAAGGAAACAATTTTTAAAATATTTTTTTAAAATATGTAAAAATTAAAAAACATGTGACGCAATAAACCCCCACTTACCCTCCAAAACTACCCTGTATTAATATAGGATGTGGTAGGTGGTGACATGAAATTAATTATCTTAATGTCTTATAATCACTCCCAAAATATAAACTTCGTATTCAAAACCGTTTGGAAGATATTTGAAAAAATAAGAATTTCAATTCACCCCTTTAAAGGGTTGTATCTCCCTTATTATTCAGTTTTATAAAAAAGTGTACATAAAGAAATACCCTTATTTTTGGACGTACTATGAGCTCTAGAAATTAATGTACATAATTCTGGACCACCTTGTATATATATATATATATATATATATATATAATATATATATATATATATATATATATATATATATAATAACATATATATATATATAATATATATAATTAATATATATATATATATATATACATATACATATAATACTATAAACTAAACATTTTTTTAATGTAAAACACTGTTTTTAAGTTAGACATCAAATTTTAAAGGGCCAAGATGACCTTTAATTAACCAATTGTTGTTGCTGCTGTTTAAACTATTTGCATTAATTTTACAATAAGGACCTATATTATCAGTACAATCCTTTTCCAGCAAGTTTGTTTTTCCTAAAATAAACGCATGAATGCAACATGAATCATTTTTCAATGATTGTGTGCATTTAAAAAATACATTACTAAACAAATTTTTAAAGTGTGAATAAAGGAGATTACAATTATTATGACACATGGTATTTAGGTACTCCTTATTGTTCAAATATGTTTCAATTTAAAAAAAAATAACATGTAATAAATTCACTGTTTAAATAAATATTTCGTACTCGTACTATTGCAATAAAATATTAAACACAAAAAATGATAACTTGTTAGGCAGTGCTGATTGAAACAAACGAGCAGTAAAATGTTATTCATGAAGGTAGTGTAAAATATATCGCCGCCTATCTGGTCCGCTGGTAATAAAGTTACCAGCATTTAATTGCAAAGCGGTCTTCTTAGGTGGAAAATATTTTAGCATCTGGTTATTTACCAACAGAGAATTTTAGGGAACTGTCAAATGTCAGTTATTTTATATTATTATGTCATACATAAACGCATATAGGTACGTTTCGCATTACTCGCATTACGAGTCTATTTCTTAGCATTTACGGTTTTTTCCTTTAGAGACGCGGTTTTACCCTCAAGCAGCACTTCGAATCGCTTACGGTGATGTAGAGTTAGATGCCATTTACACAGAACCTCCAGAAGTAAACGTTCTTACTGACGAAGAATCTGGATATGAAAATGATGATGGACACCTTGACCATTAGTGCCACTGAAGCCATCGCATCTAGAGATGTGCCATGAAAATGTACATATTCTTGGTTAAAACCAGATGATTTTCAAAATTGTCTGGATACTTTTCCAAAACCAACTTTTTCTGAATATGAGAATTTAACACCTGTTAAACTGTTCGAGTTATTTTGAACGAAAAAATTTTGAAAATACAAAACATGCTTTTTTCAAAATATGTTCTTTTTCTTTTTTACTAAAATACTTTATTGTCACCTTGATTCCAAAACCAGGAAAGCGATATTACTAGAATTCTAAACCAGACATGGAGCATGCTTTGGTTAAATCGTTTCGAATAAATTCTGAAATTTGTACATTGGGCAGACAATAATAGCATAAATTCAAGTTCAATAAGACTACTAAATAGACTACGACTCAGTCAATAGAAGAGAAATGTTGAAAGCAATGAAAGATCTTGGAATACCAAATGAGTTAATAAATTTACCAAAACTAATTCTAGAAAACTCTCATTGAAAAAGTTGAATGTAGAGTACGAATTTAGGAGGAACTGTCTGAACCTTTTAAAACAAATAACGGGCTGCGCCAGGAAGACCCACTCTCCTGTATACTATTCAATCTGGCTCTATAAAAAGTAATACGTATGTCACAAATCACAACCAATAGTTCAATATATAATAAATTAGTACAAATCCTGGCCTATGCTGATAATATCAATATTGTTGAGAGAACGGAAAACACTGTACGAAAGAACTTCGTACTGTATGGGATACATTCTTGTAAATAGTTCATAAGGAGAAAGCCAATTAGATTTGGATTTAA